TCTTTTAAAAGATTCCTTTCACAGCCGCTAAATTTATAGACTCTTGATGTTATAACCTTCCTGAAATATGAAATATGGCAAAAAAAATGGTGTTAATAAAGCAGGAAACGTGTCATTGCTTTCTTTGCTCCGGTATAAGAAATAGAGAGGAAGTGAAGTGAAGATAAAATATAGCTTGAAACCGTGAAAAGATGAAATATAGACAAGCTCTCGTTTTTTCGTACCAGCGTTTTGAAAATGCCCTAATTTGCATAATTTCCATCGGGCCTTTGACAAGGTTTACGTCGATTTCAAACTTTCCTATTTTTTGGCAAAAACGGGATCTCGTTGAAACTTTTAAATGTTGTTTTAAAAATAGTTTACCAAAAGGGTCGGACTTTTTCGGGGAAAATCCATTTTTTTTATCTAGACTCGGTTTCTCAATAATTACTTACAAGGGCTCTCAAAGAGTTTCGGGTCTCGAATAATTAGCAATCACTACATGTGGGATACACGCCGTCTGCGTAAACGCATTGATGATCACAAGCAGAAATCGTCTTCCGTATACAAACATTTAAAAAATAAACACAAAATTGCAACACCAACGTGCCTTCTTGAGCAGTTCAACGTGTTTGCAAAATGCCACGCAAAATTCGACTGCCTCATCACAGAGATACTTTTTATTCGGATCTTAAAAATAACTATCCCTCAACGTGCAAACTGACTCTGTTCGTGCTTAAGTGTTTGTGTAACTTAGTTCCTTTTTCAGTATGCTAATTATGGTATTTTTATTGATACGTCTGGGCCTTCTACAAATCCATGTTACTTTTTCAATAGCCGGCTCGTTCAGGGTCATTGTTTTGGGTTAGGGTTTTGAAAAGATTTTGAAAAGATGCAATGTGCGAACATGGCAAATCCTTTTTCAACAAGCAAGAAGCGAAATAAATTGAATGTTTCGCTCCTTTTTGCTAATTCCTATTTTTTTGGACAAAGGGCGTCTAATATAAAATTAACTTCGTAGAGAGAGCGTTTAATACACGCAGTAACTAGTCCCTAGCTAGCCTTACCATTATAATTTGACCTCTAATAAAAAAAATACTAGCTACAGCCAAAAAGAACCTTGTCGTAAATTCAAGTTAACATATCAAAAGCCAATCTGGCAAAATTTTGCAGAACAAACATCTCAGCTGCCACACGTCAGTAACGTCACTATTGATGCACCGTTTTGGTAATTTTCAGTTGTTTTATTTTTGTATTAGAATATATTTGTGACCGATTTGTAGAGACAGTACTAACTCTACGTTCAATAAACTGTATCATTTATTTTGGGCTATAATGCTCTATTAAGTAGATTTAAAATGATTATTCCATTACTCGATTTCATTCTTCATCCCTCCCTTAGAAAGCTTGAACAAGTCGCACAGTTTTCATGCCACTCTATTTCTAACAGAGTCCTAATATCGCTTGTTTAGACAATTTTGACGGTGGAAGTCTTAACAGCGTGTATTCCAAATTATTAAAAAATTTCAGACATAGGGTTCTTCATTTGCATTACTAATCATGACGAAATGCAATAAAGACTGTCTCTGTTTGCATGTCAGTGAACACATTCCGTTCAACAGTTCGTAAGGACACCTGTCAATCGAAAGAACTTCTTCAACTGTTCTTGCTACCGAAAAAGAAGAGGAAAAGTTAGCAGCATGTCTTCGTTCAACAGCTGGCTTATTATTGTCTCTCTGCTTTTTAACGTTTTGCTTTACCGATCCTCCGCACGTTCAACTTATCCACCCCCAGGTGAGTTTTTACACCAGGTAAACTTATTTTACCGTTACTTATTAAAAATAACAGATTGCGCGAGTTTCGCCGTTTTTCCTGAAAGGCAAGCGCACTTAACACGTTGTATAATAAATTATAAACTATATCTTGGTTTAGACTACGCATGGCATACACCGGAGAAAGTAATTTTACCTTCCCAGCCACGAGGCATTTCTCAGATATTTTTTCACTGATATTTTTTTGACAGCCTAAAAATTATAAGTCATATCCTATAGTTTGCAAGCATTAAAGGAAACTGTGGAAATGTAGCTACAAATTTGTATTCTGCCGTGTTTGACGTGTTTATGCTGAAACAAGAAATACGTGAATCGCAGGACCTAGCGTAGCACTTCGGGGCAAGGGCAAGAAATAGGAAGAAATGGAAGTAAAGCAATCGGGAAGAAATTTTATAAATTTAAAAAATTTTACCCCGTATAAAGAAACAAAACAAAACTAAAATAGCTAAAAATAAATAAATAATTAAAAAGGAGGCAAAAAACAAAAAAACAAAAACAAAAACAAAAAAGAAAAAAGAAAAGAAGGGAAAAAGAAAAGTTGGTTTTACCCGAAATTTAACTCAGGACCCTCTACGCGCCGGGCCGTTTTCGTTACCACTACGCCAGGTGGGGCAATACTATGAGAGAGGCAATAATATTTTATTTAAAACCTTTCCCAGTAGAACTTTCCACTGGCGCGCCCTTTTAAACACAAATTCAAAGATATTTTTCAGGAGAATGACTGATGTTTTGACGGTAAAAAACCCAACTTAAACGCATTTCATCGCATTTAAAGAACAAATGCCCAATTAAGCCGATACGGTACAAACTCGTCTGCGAGCATAGCATGTGTTATGTTACCTCGATTTTCGCTTATATCTTAATGCTAATGATCCAAATCGCTTCCATTTTCTCTTAAAAGTACTTTTGCCTTCGAAATTCGTCGTAAAAAGCACTTATCGACTCCTAAAACAGCCGCTAAAAACAAACCAATAGAAATATGACCAAAGCAAGACTCTTCGCAAAGCAAGTCTATCGGTTGCCTGGAAACCCACAATGCACCTTGACGTCACTCTGGATGACGTCAAGGTGGACACCATCCAAACTCGATTTTTTTTTCATAGACTTATAGCAAAAATAATATTACGGTTGGCTTGCGATCCTCGTGGGAGCCACGCGCGTTGCAAATTCCGACAAAATTATAAACTAACGCGAGGAATGAGCTTACCACTCCGATTGTAGTACTTTGAAGATCCCGCTGCTATGCCACATTTTTTGACTTATTTTTACATGATTTCCACCTTTTTGTTAAAACTTTTATTTGTCTCCTATAATGAAGGACCAGTCAAAACCCACGATGTTTGAAGGAGATATCGTGTATTTGAAGCTTAAGGCGAGGTGTTGTTTAAACCTTCGCAACTCTGCCTTAAAAACATTTTGCATTTTTATTGGTTCTACAATATGGAGAACCCAACTTGCCTAACAAAATTGGATAAATAAGGCAAAAAACTTAAAGACGTCGAAAACTTTGTTGAGAAGGGATGTTGCTCGATCCTCCTTTTAACAATAAAGAAGTTTGTATCAGCTTGTTTACAGCGGGTTATTGCATGGTGTTCACATTTTTGGGTTTTAATTTCGATCTTATTTGCGTTGTGTCAAGTGCTAGACTGCGATTTTGACAACTCCACGTTTTGCGGATGGGCAAATGAAAAATCTGGAAAAGCGAAGTTTAACTGGACTTTAAATTCGGGGCAAACACCTAGCTGGAGAACAGGTCCTCGTTCTGATGTTTCAGGTATTTTCTTTATTTTAAAATCTGCTTCTTATTACGTTTAACAGTTTGTAACGTTTATTTGAATTTTAAGGGAGACCGATTCAGTTTATATTAAGATAGTTATTTTTTAACAATGACTCATTTTAGTGGACTACAGTAATTTAGAGCCATTCTCTACAGAAAAATTAAACAACAAAGTGTGTAATTATAATACTGAAAGAAATAAGACTAACTCGCCATTACTTTTCACTACGTTACCTTAAAGGCAGCTACAGTGACTTCATTTCTTTAAAAGTTAAAAACTGTATCACACAAGAATCCCGGAATCGTAATTTTGTGATTCCTTGGTATTCTAAAAATAACTAAACTCAATGGATATATAGACAGTAATCGAAAGCGTCAACTCAGTGAATATTTTGTTCCAATATCTCCAGGAAATGGAACGTATGCATATCTTGAAGCATCTTTTCCGCGGCAACATGGTGACAACGTTAGGCTTTTAAGTCCTATAATGCAAGGTGCAAAGTGCATGTCATTCATGTATCATATGCATGGAAGTTCCATGGGAAGCTTGGTAATCTACATGAAAGTAAACAGCAGTGAAACAGTGGAATGGATTAAATCAGGCAAACACCCCAATCGATGGCTAGAAGCTGTTATATTCCTCAATTCCTCAGCTCACTACCAGGTAATCCATCTGACTGATGAATTAATAAAGCGGGCTATAACCCAATCTAATTTTTTTCTTTGCCTGCACCATCTTGACGCAGAATACGTTAACAAAGTAAAGTGAAAAAAAAGAATAGATTGACAATCAAACTACTACCTTTACTAGCTTTTAGATAAAAAGGTGTTGATCCTATCGATCATCCTTGCAAAGGCACAAGTACATGAGAGAATATGTGAAACTAGGAGAACACTGTGAATTAACTTTCTATTATTTAGATATTGGGCACTTTAACACCTTGCAACACAACCGTTAGAAAACCGATTGAGAATTTATCAAGATTATCCAGTCTTCGTTCATTAATGGGCACGATGATTTTTGATTTTATAGTTATTCCTCAGTTATAAGCATAGTTATTACAATAACTGCTACAATAAATCTGAATGACAGTAAAGTGCAACGCTTGACGTCACTAATGCAGGTTTTTGTTAAAGGATTATGATAACCAGGATCTCACTGCTGATTTGGCAACATGTCGTAAGCGCATTAACGCAATCAGAAATAAGTATGGTTTAGCAGTTACTCCCACAATGGGGTGCTCGGGTCAGTATACTGCTGCATTGTTTTTCCGTCAGCTTTTTTAGCCTAATTTATGTAAGTTACCGATAAGCGTACTAGAATATGCCTAGTAACTAACTTTAAGGGTTTAATCTTTATAGATTATAATGGAGGGAATAAGGGGCGTTTCCTTTACAAGTGATGTAGCCATAGATAGCATCGCATTCAGAAATGGATCCTGTGAACGACTTGGTATGTACACGAGTATTTATCACTGCATTTTTGAAATATCACAACAAGCTGACACTCAAAGGTGGATCAAACTCATAAAACTTATTTCAAACGACATTTGTAACCTGTTTTCCTTTGTTTCAAGTTACCCAGTCGTTATACGCCTTCATAAAGGAAGATGCTACAGACTTCAAATTGGACAGAATTCCAGCTCACAGTGGATGGTTTTATCAGTTTACGGTGCATGCTCTTCAAACAAGAAACATTTCCGCCGATGTGATATACTTTGTGTACCCAGCAAACACTGTCCATTGTGCAAAAAGCGTCACCCAAGAGCTTTCTTTAGACGATCTCAGTTGCTTCCCTCGAGACTTCTTCTTTTCCTCAAGGACATATCAGCCACATTACAAAAAGTTTTTGCTTCTCAACCGAGGAGAAAAATTACCTTACGGGATTGCCTTAGAAGAATTTCATAACTGCTGTGGTCAATCAGTTACTGAGTACTTCTTTGCAAATGTTTCATTAGACCGTAAGTTAATAAGTGAACTTATACTAAGGTGTCTGTGACTTAGGCATAAAACCCATCTTTTTCCAAATATTATACGACGGCTAACGGTTTTCTTTTAACAGTAAGGTTAATACCACTGCCGGTCGGTAACGAGATATCCAGTTATTCGGCTTAAAATGAAAAAAAAAAATTGTGAATCATTATTCAAGTAAAACCTGAAGCTTTGGTCAGTTGTTCAGAAACTGTGTATGGATTGTTCGTTTTTTTTTTCCAATTTCAGAACAAAATGCATGCCCACTTGGCTGGATTAATTTGGGCGAATCATGTTTTAGAATACATATAGAATCTTACGAAACCTGGAAAGACGCCATGTTCAAGTGTCAAAACCTTGGAGGAAGACTCGCTGTTCTTGATAATGCAGTCAAACTGCACCCACTTTCAAGATTCATCGATGACTATGTGGAGGACCTGGGATACTTTAATGACTTTTTCGTCGGGGCTCATGCTATCAGTGACGGGCGCTGGATTACTGTCCGAAAACAACTGTTTCCAGCTCAATCGTTACTATGGGGAACCTCACAACCTTCAGGTGACGGTTGGTGTACGGACCTGATTTTCGAAGAGAAGTGGAATTCTAAGGGCTGGAGAATCAACGACCAAAACTGCTTATCAAAAGAAGGATTTGTCTGCCAGAAGCCAAAGAAAACCTCAGGTAATAACATTTAAATTTAGTGTATATGCGCCTGATTTAAACGGAGTATTTAAGTGATATTAAATCAGCAGACGAGGGATTTTAGAAAGCCTTGATAATAAATTTTAGTTGGCACTTATAGTTAATCCTTATAAATACTATAAATACAGATTTTTTTTAAAAGGGACCTAGGCAAATGTGCAGCTTTTTGTGTGTAAAAGGGCCAAAATATTGTACAGGGGTTTTGCGTCCGATAAGCCCGGAAATCACACTAACGGAGGAAAAGGAAAGGAAAAATAGGAGCTAATGGGGAGGAGCAAAAAGGGAGAAGAATAGAAAAAATGCAATGATTGCACTCTCAGGTTTTATTTTGGAGAAGTTTTTGAACGAAGGAAAAAAAACTGTCACACGGAATTGGTCTTTATGGCGGTAAAGTTTTCAAAAATTCAGCTAGATATATAGTCTGTAAAAATACCTTTTCCTGACCGCATGCAAGCATCATTGAATCAGGTTGACTTAATCTTTTGGAAAATACTCACTCAGTTAAAACGTTACATTCGTGATTGGTTTCACAGGATCATCGTGTGATTCCAGTTGGTTCGAGGTGAATGAATCATGTTTTCGAGTGTTTGCGGGGACGTTCTTTACCAGAGAATGGGACTGGGCTCGTTGGTCGTGCAAACTACTAGGAAGTGACCTTGCCGTCGTTGAATCTGAAATTCAAAGAAAAATCATCGCAAACCATCTCACTAACATATCCAAAAAGTACCCAGATGAAAACATCAAAGCATTTCTTGGTATTCGTAAGTTTGGCACGTGGCATTGGTTAGATGGCAGCAATATTTCAACTAGCATTTGGCTTTTTGGGTATCCCGATATTTTGTCAGGGCGTGGAGAGTGTGGCTTGCTAGTTGAATCGTGGTTTTCACTTGAAACGAAGCTCATCCCGGTGTCTTGTTCTCGTCGGTATCCAGTTGGATTCATCTGTGAAACAGAGGAACGTAAGTCCTTCGTTATCGTAAATTGATATCCATTTTTTTGGGATAAAGTTTGTCTTAGATCCATAGAAGATCACTAGACAAATTTTGGAAACCTTCCTTGAAGATGATTCTTTAATTTTGCTCTTACTATTATTCAATAATGCTTAGGAAGGTTTTTGGTCGGTTGGCAATCCGTCCATTCATCCCAGGCCAACGGCAGCGGTGAGCCTTTCAATGCCGTCGACGGTAACGTTGCGTCTTGTTTCACAGTTAAAGGGCAAGGGGTAAGTGCTGTTGCGGTAATAATCCATGTCAGTTGTACCCTGCTTATCAGATGGATCATCAAATAGCTTTGCTCGTAGTTAAACTTGTCTTTATTATTCATTCAAAATATTTCCCGATTCTGATTGGCTAAAAGCACACGCATAATTCATCATAACCAGCTACTGATGACCAAATTTGAAAGAATTTTGCGTCTAATGAACCGGTGACGTCAAAAGTGCAGTTTTCTTGCTGTTAATGCACCGTTAACCGAGAAGACCTGAGGACAAGGTTGAATTGTTTTGGTTGTGAAAACAAAAATGACGGACATTTCACTCGTTTCAAAGTAAAACTTGGCGAAATAATAGCATAAAATGGCAAGAACAGCAAGAAGACAACTCGAAGGGCGACATCTGCTATTTGGAGAATATTTGCTGAGCTGAACAACCCTAGACGTGCACTATCGAAGATGAACTTAACATCGATGGAGATAAGCATGTTTTCGCCATGTTTTTAAACTAGGAATTATTTTGAATGAATAATAAAACAATTATTGAATTCGCCTTTCGTATCATATGAAGAATTATGGAGATCTCGGAGGGTGTTATCCGCTTCGGCCATTCATCAATTGTTAAATATTTGTAATTGAGTTGCTAGTTGTCAAGATGCCTGCTATATAATATGTTTGATTTAAGCTGACTCATTCCACAAACTTCCCCCACCCTTTAACCAAATAAATGCTGTGGTTTAAGTTTAGTTTTGATTTAAATTTTAATTCCCTTTGTTTTTGGATATGGTAATATGAGGTATCCAGTTTGAAACTAAAAACAAAGAGGTTCAACTTAGAATGCAATGAACCACAACAAATACCGAATGTACGGTCTTTCTTTACCACAGGGTCAGCCAGTCTGGTGGAGTGTAACTTTGCAAAGACCAGCATTTATCAGCAAAATCTGGATCATTAATAGGCCGGGGTGCTGCCTTGCAGAAATGACCAAGCATAATGTCATTTTAAGGAACCATTTGGAAACCGTAAAAGCAAACTGTAAAGTTTACTCCTGGAAGGAAAGACAAAAAACACTGATGATCTGTGAACCGTCAATTTCTACTTCAAATGTTACTATTTATGAAAACAGTGTGGGCGAACTAAGGCTGTGCGAGGTGATGATAACGGCAATAGGTGAGAAATGTAAACGTTTTTTTTTTTGCTCCAATCACATGGATAATAATTAAGATTAACCCTACATCAACCCTGATGTGAACAGAAGAAATGATACGCACACGAAAGATTGCCACTATTTCTTATGAGCATTGCTTCTAAAAAGCGCGTTTTTGACTCTCTTGGTATTAACAAGATATTCGACCATTATTAAATACACAGAAAGCGAAAAGAGTCTTCATGGCGTTCTTCAAGAACTTTGGTACAATATTCCTTCTGGTACAATAGCGAGGTTGCGAGCACACAACAGGCTTCCTACCACTGATCCAGATGTTGTGAACATTCTCCGACAGTTTGACTCTCCCTCCAATTTCCATACAAAATACGGACAACGTCTGACAGGGTATTTGCAGGTACATAGTTCTAATATTATTTTTTCCCGTAAGTGGTCTCATATTATGCTCATAAATAAGAACTTAGGTGTTGTACAAAAAGAGGTACTGACTTTCGACCAAGAATCCTCCTTAACCCTCGGACGTACACGCAAATTCATACCCCCTACCGTGGCACAAGGGGGGGGGGAGGGTGGATGGAACCCCTCCCCGGAGTTTTTGATATATTGCAGTATTTCGAAACGATTTTGCCTTCAGTGGAAAGCCTTTGATCTTCTTAACAAGCTGAGGTATATTTTAAGGGTGGTAGCGCCGCTGGAGGCCTGTGACGTCATTAACAATGGTCGCCATCTTGGATTTGACCAAGAATTAGAAATCAGGTTAAAACTGCGAGAAAGGGTAATGTTTTTAGCTTTACATGAAAAATAACACATAAATAAGCATTTTGCATAATTTTAGAATTACTATTCTTGTTGAAAGAAGTGGAAAAACATGTATTTTCACCCAAAAATGGCTTGAGCACTTCTACTTATGACGTCATATCTCGTAGCCATAGCAACTGACCACGAAACCGGTTTCAAAATGTGCGCGAGGGATGAACAAACAGCTACTGAAAACATCCGTACCTGATGTTTTATCCTTTAGGAAAAAACTCAGAAAAACCTTACGGGGCGTGAGTGGAGGGTGACATCCACCCTCCCCCCCTCCCCTTGTACGTCTGAGGATTAAAGGATTGTACGGATCTTTTTTAATTTCTGCTTCGATCTTTTTTCGTCAACCCAAATATCTCTTTCCTTTTAATATTTCCTTTTCAATGTAAAATATGCCCGTTTCTGACATCCCTTGAGCATTCAGTGACAGGTAGTAACGCATACCACTCATGTCACTTATTTCATTTTTCTTTTGTCTTGCGTAAGGTACCTGAAAGCGGTAACTACACCTTCTTCGTCGCACGCGATGACAATTGCGAGCTTTGGCTACAACCAGAGAGGGTAGAGCTCGTTGAAAAAATAAAGGACGACAAAGCATCCCACAAACTACTCTTGATAAAAGTGGACTTTCGGACAGACCACAATCAATGGGACAAGTAAGAATACATTGTCATTTGATAAAAAGGTTATGTTCTCCTGAAAACTAAACGGCTCTTCGTCGTAAAGCCCTTAATCGCCTTTATACTGCGATCCGTGTAAAGGTGCTTATCTATTGAGCGTAAAAAACAATTCGACTTTGGCTGAATTAAAACGAATCAAAGTTTGGTTTTACTTTTTGAAAATTAGACATAATACAGCTTATAAATCACTAACCGAGGGAAAGACCAGAGGAACATTTTATTTGTTTTGCCTTAACAAAACACACTAATTAAACGTTTGAATTTAGTCCCTTAGGACAAACGGTTTTTCCTAGATATCCTAAAACCATCATTCTCATGAGAATGAACTTTCGCTTTGAAAAGTCAAACAGTGAGTCGTTTTATGTTATGTTTTATGAATCACGTTTTTATTAATTTTTTTATTGGTAAAATTATCATCCTTACCCTTTTTTGTGTACGTTTCTCTAGATTTCCCTCTCTCCAGGCATCCAAAGAAATCTGGTTAAAGAAATGCCAGTTGTACTCTGTGGAGGTACTAATAAAACAATCTGGAGGAAGTGATTGTGCCTCCGTAGGAATGAAACTACCAAATGGGACATACAAAGGCCCAATAACTGCGGCTCACTTATTTTGGGTGAAGCCAGGTAAATAATTGCATGCAGCTGACGCTACTGGACAACGACACCCTTTGTAAGCGTTAAAATTTTCTGTGTCTGAACATGTTTTCCAACAAATTGTTTTTCTCAAGCGGAGACTCCTTGCTATTTACTGACGCCTGCCCTTGCTCCATAGACTTTCACCTTTCGCTTTCTCTCCCTACCCCCCCCCCCTTTTTTTTTTTCCTGCCCTTGCTCCATAGACTTTCACCTTTCGCTTTCTCTCCCTACCCCCCCCCCCTTTTTTTTCTTCCCCGGATTTTCCTTTTGTTGGGCATGTACTATTAGCGTCCTTTAGCCAGAAAGGTGTCGTTAAAATTCCTAGGATCGTAAAGTTCTTGAAAGTAACTTAAGAACAACGTTTGCGTTGAAAATTTCTGGTCAACTTAACCTGTTTTTTTTTTGTGGCTAGTTTGACTGAAACTTGCTCATTCGGATATGGTTTGAAAGATCACTTCCCCCTTCACAAATTGGTTATCAAAGTTGTTTATGGCCTTATCATCTGCACTGGCTGTTGCGGGCGATTCACGTGAAGGGACTAAGTAATCCTATTATTCAACGCGATTTTTCCAAAAAAGGTTAATAAATCAATGTAAATGCCACTCATCCACAAGTTTTCAATTATTCACGTCGGCTCTGAACACTTTGTCTTACCGATCCGATTAATAGTTGTCTTGACGGAAATCGTTATTTGGAAAACATCGATTTTCCTTTTATGCAGATAATGAAGGATTCGAAATCTGTCTTATTGTTAGTGTAATTTGCAATTCCTACAGGTGTTGGACATATAAACTTCAACATAACGTCTATTCCTAAAAAGTTCACCCTCAAGACTGGTGAAAAACTTCTTATTCAAGGTATTTTAGGTAGCTTGATTTGCTTATCGGAAATAACGCGTATGTGAAAAGAGTGACTAAATCTTCTTGTTAATTGCTGTTATATTTGTTCTAGTGGCAAAAATTTTATTTTTATTAGTGGAAAATAATTAACCATAATTTGAACTCCAAAGCTATCATAGTACTTAAAACTATAAATTTAAAGAATATCAAAAATTTTTGTAATGAATTATAATTTCCAGACAATAAGCCTGCTTTATCTTGATTAACCTGTTTAGATTGTCAAGTCCTTTTCTCTTCTTCAACCATAGCTTATTACAAATTTTGCTGTCGTGGATTACACTGCTCTGCATGTCCCACTCGCTTACATTTAAGATTTGGTGCGCAAAGGATTTTAGTTCACGATGGTTTAGCGATGGATTGTCAAAAGCGCTATTTCAACACTAGTTTCGACACCTTTCAACAGGAAGGAACATACCAAATTAAAGTAAGCAGTTTGAATTTCTCGTATTTATTTTATAATTAAATGATTATGTTTTTACCAAGCATTTGCCTTACAAATGACACTGCGTATCGTCGTATGTTAGGTAACGTATAACCTGGTCGATTCCTTGTCACATACAACAGAGGTTTCAAGGGAAATTAACGAAGTTCATATCTCAGGTATGTCAATCCACGCCGAGGTAAAAAATATTCTTGTTTATTTGAAGTATTTATTACCCAGTAAAAGATTACACTTTTCTTTTTTTAATTAGCTATCCTAGTTGAAGGTTGCAGCTTCACATTTGACCTTTGTTCGTGGAACAGTAAAGATAATGGCTGGACATTTTCACCGTCTGGCAAAGGTTTGTATTATTGACTCTATAATAACCCATGTACATGAGCCTTTAATCTCGACCCAAATGTGATGTAATGGTACCTGAATGTAGCTCCAACAATTGAGGGGGACTTAAAGGAACAGTATCCCGTTACTGCGCATGTGCCGAACTTTGATTTTCTGACGGAATGTCGCGAAATTCAAAAGATGCGAGCAGAGTCAGAGAACGTTAAAAAATCTGTTTGCACTGCGCTTGGCCGAGTTCGATACTACACTGAAAGTTCTCAGAATTGCAGATCAATGATATATTGATTCCGTTAAGTTTCGATCTGAGCGAAATCGGGATTTTTTGGCGTTACTTTCATTGCTGTTAGCTGGAGGACCAAGAAAAGGGAAGCGCTTTAATGCCAGTTTAAGGCTTATTTCTCCCACTAGCTTCCATACAAGCTCACATAACCGCGAAAGGAATACGCAGAAATGGAACAGCAACAATAAACACTATGTAAGAATGAAATCATCAAGACATGGATGTGACTGAGGAGATCTTGTGGAATTTAACTCCGTCAAGTTCATTTTGCAATGACGTGTTAGTAAACTTTTAAATAAACTCCCTACGGACGACAAAATCAAACAAACAGGCATTGCATGTTTAGAGAAACGAGTGCAATGAAATCACAATATGATGTTTGAAGAACCTTCGCGAGGCTTCGTCTCGGTGAGATTGTATTTTTATTCATATCTTTCGAACTTCTGAGGCTAGAATGCAATCAAATATTAATGGACTTGGACTTGCCACAAATTGACCTCTGGCACGGGTTTCACAGTAGAAAAGCTGTTTAAAAGCAAGCGGAACGAGCTTTTGGGGTAGCGAGGCGACCGAGATAGCGACAAGATCGCGATAAGTCTTCGTACCGTGAGCCAAATTTTAATATGACGCAAGATTTCTTCAAAAGTCAAAAATATTACTTGAGAATGTAAACAACAAATCTCCGTCGGCGGTACGGTCCGGAAGGAAATGTTGTCGCGTCAATATGACAGTTCTATTGTCTTTTTAAGAAATAACAGATAACGCTCGAGCGTGCGCATAGTCGGGCCACTATCCCTTTAAAGACGATCAGGCTCGCATTCAGCAATTGCAATCTACGATCTAAACGGTGCATATTGCATTGGAAGCTGTACAGTAAACTTTAGGTATGCACGTTGTAAACCATCTTAAGCAATTTTTTATACGCATGTCAACTCACAGGGTACCATTTTGCGAATAATACCTTGCGCAATATAATCGGTGACTGCGGAAGGAAAACATAATTTTGACGCTACAGAGTTCTTCCGTCACATTGTTACGCAATGATAGGAGGAGCCGACAGCAAACGCGAGGCTGCCACAGGCCCGTTATACCAGCGGTTTCTTATTATTAAGCTGATCTAGCAACAGGACGGGCTTAACCAATGGCAGAGAGAGGCAAATTAGTCACCGGAAGTCGTGTTTAGTCGTTTCCGCGCGCTTTCCCGTCGCCAACTGACGTTCCCGTCCTGTTGCTAAATCAGCCTATTATTTCGTCACCAAGCCTTGTTTCGGAGAAAAATATGTTATATTATTTTTGGGGGGTATTCTTTGAACTTTATTATAAAGACAGTGGGAATTAATTGATGTGTTATTTTATTTATATTCAGGAGTTGTGGCCCGTTTCGACGACGAGGTTAGTGTTCTAGAGAGCCCACGGATTTCAAAAAATCTTATTTATGAAAAAACTGGGTTGTGTCTGTCCTTCTCTTATAATTTTTCCGCTCACGATTCTGGATCATCAGTAACTTTTAAACTGCTGACATCATCAAAAAATGTCTCTTTGTGGAGTCTCCATGGTTACCAGGGCCAAACCTGGCTGACAGGGCAAGTGTCATTCAAACCAAGTGAGGATTTTAAGGTATGATGTCCTTGGAGTAGCATAATCTATCTTTTCGTGTCCTTGTAGGATTGATTTATTTAATCATGCCTTCTATATATTTTGTAGGTTCTTATTGTTGCTATCGGAAAACAGCCGTCTGATTTTAATCGCGGGGCAGTTAAAAACATTAGTATTACTACAAAACAGTGTGAGCAACTACCGCCTCATAGTTTACCAGGTGCGTACTCTGTTCTAATAGTCATCACTTTTGTCCATTAATGGGATTCTTAAAACCATCTAGGCACATTCAGCTGTCCGGCGGCGCAAAGTCTGTGCACCTATATGAACAAATGAGTAATTGAAATATGCAAATAGTATAAGCGGCTTTTTTACTTGGAAGAGCTTCACGTACTGTCACTATAACGACATTTTTTCAGGATTCGTGTGTGAGAGCAAAAGTTTTCAGTGCGACAATGGAAAATGCGTAAGCAAAGACCTAGTATGCGATGGAGACAATGCTTGCGGGGACGAATCAGACGAGAAAAACTGTAAATGCCTCACAACTGAATTTGAGTGTCCTACTGGAGAATGTCTTGGTGTGGAGAAGCTATGTGANTCCGGCGGCGCAAAGTCTGTGCACCTATATGAACAAATGAGTAATTGAAATATGCAAATAGTATAAGCGGCTTTTTTACTTGGAAGAGCTTCACGTACTGTCACTATAACGACATTTTTTCAGGATTCGTGTGTGAGAGCAAAAGTTTTCAGTGCGACAATGGAAAATGCGTAAGCAAAGACCTAGTATGCGATGGAGACAATGCTTGCGGGGACGAATCAGACGAGAAAAACTGTAAATGCCTCACAACTGAATTTGAGTGTCCTACTGGAGAATGTCTTGGTGTGGAGAAGCTATGTGACTTGAGAAAGGACTGCAAGGACGGAACAGACGAGGCAAGATGCGGTAAGCAACAGATTAAATAAGGTTAATTATTTCCTGGAATCAGATTTGTTATTTTAGGGTGTCATTAATATAGGGCAAAGCTGCTCTGAAGACACTCTTTCTTGCGCTGGAGGTGGTTGTGTACCATGGTATCTCACGTGCGATGGAGAAAAGAACTGTGAAGATGGAACAGATGAACCATCTATATGTGGTAATTTCGCATTTCTTACATGTATTTTTCTTTGATTCGATTTTGATGACTCTTTTTGTTGCACATTAAAGTAGACAGCGATTTGTCTTTCAGCTTAGTATAATTTAGCTAGTAAACGTTTTATCAGCGACACATAAGTAAACTTGGTGTAGATGTCTACACGTCTGAATCTATAGCGTTAAAGGTGTTTGCACAGAGCGTGAGCAGTAAACTTTTCAATATTTTAGCACAAAAGGTCGTTCTTTTTTTTATATTCATGAAAATGCACAGATTAGTGCGCAGGTGGATGTTTTGATTAACCTCAGAAAGAAAGCTGCTGCCAATACCTGAGTTTGTTTTTAGATCTGGACAGAATCCGAATAGAATAGCTGTTGCCACCAAATTCGTAGCTAGATACCAATACCTACTAGCGGGTACCGGTATATTTCTCTTGCTAAACTGTGGTTCTAAATACTAAAGCGGTCAGTCCCAGAATGTTAAATGATATAGAAACGACACTGTTTGATATCTGATGTTTCGATCGATCTACGATCATCTTCAGTTACAGGTAATATACCAATATACGGTGATGAATGATGCAATTGTATGTGACGTTACAACCGACGTGATAACAATTTAAAATTAACGTTTTTAATAAGCGCGAGATAACAAATATTACACAAGCAAGGGAAAGGTACAAGGAAACCAAATAAATTAAATATCAAAATCTGTTTAAATGTTAATATGCAACAATAAATAAATATAATTATTAAAGTTAATTAAAATTGTAATAATAAACGACACTATGTATAATAATCAACCAATGAATTCATTAGACAGTACTTTTGTTTCTTCAGGGTCTTCGCACTGTCCATTGCTTAACCTGAGGTGTGATTTGTTTAACTATACGGATTTGTCAAACTTTTACCAGTGTGTTGGAAACAAAGGTATGGAAATAAGAATCTTGTCCTATATTTTTTGAAAATTGAAGACAAATTTCTTCCTGTAACAGTGAAACTTCTCTAAAATTCGTTTTGTTCATAACGTGAATAAAGTATGTCTGCCAATAAGCAGTAGGTAAATTGATAAAATCTGAGTAATCCAGGTATCCTAAATGTATCTAGGCGTAATACAATACAAATAAACACTACCTTTCTATGATTTATCATTTCTTGCCGACAACAGAAATGACATTGCTCTCTACTTACGAAGTCTTTCTTGTGTTAGTTAAATGCGATTTTGAGGATGGGCTATGCGGGATGGAACAGACTCATTGGCGCATTGGATCTGGCTTCACACGCACGAAGAACACAGGCCCGGATTATGATCACACCACACTTGGACCTGAGGGTTGGTTTGAGTGATACTAAGTCTCAAGTTATTTCAGTTTTCTCTTCGTATTCCCTTTTGGAAAGGCGCCACCAAGTGCTACAAACTATCTCATGAACAGGAAGCTGCACTAAGTTTATATTTAAAAAGAAAATTAAAATAGCTATAACAATAGTAGAAACAGCGCAATAAAGAAAGTGCTAAGAGAAACGAATAGCTCTTACTGTAAATGATGGGCTGATACATCAACTGAACTTGACAGCTGTTCCAAACTAAACTTTCTTATTATGACAACGTGTAAAAGACCAAAATCTTTGATAAGATTTCTGATGCACTTTGTTTGACTCTAAGTCTTTTGTTCTTTCTAAGTTTATTTATGTATTTACTTCTGCTATTCCTATGTTTGTATTTATTTACCTATCTATCAAGGAAAATACCTATTTCTGGAAGCATCGGAGCAGAAGGCACGTGAGGGAGCCATTCTGGCCAGTAGTACAATTGGTCCTGGTAAACCCATTTGTTTGCAGTTTTGGTATCACATGAAAGGAAAAGATATCGGGAGCTTGAAAGTCTACATTCAAACAAATGAAACAAAAACGCTAGTTTGGAATATGACTGGTGCACAAGGTGACAAATGGAAATTTGGACAAGTTGGATACAAAGGCGACTCGAAAAGCTACAAGGTAGGGGTGATTTTGCAACAAATAAGTTAATAACTCTTCAAAAAATTGCTATCCGTACTAATGATGATCTTTTATCACTGAGATTTGACAATCGGAAAATGAGAGGGCTAGTCAGACGTTGTCGTTGCTG